TTAATGGTCCTTGTTTTAGCCCAAAGACTGTCCTGATCCACCCTTTGGACCAAAAAGGGGGGAATCTTGGGACCACATAGGTCAATGCGCGTTTGCGAACTATGGACCTCGTACATCACCGCGTGCTCCATAAACTGAACTGTATGGCCGGCGGTGAGATGCCTTTGTGTCCACTCGTGGAGTTAACCGCCCACCGACCTTCCTCCTTCTACACTACTACCTCTCGCATGGACGACATCATCATTGCGTACCACCTGCGTGAGTGGCTTCTTCTCGTTATGCGCGTTGGGGACTATCCCGTTTCCTATCCTCTTTGTGCCTGACCAGGATCAAAGACCAAAGGCGCCAGGATCCAAGACAAAGACCAAAGACAAAGGCGTCCAAGGAGACCAACGTCCTAAGGGACAAACCCACCTGTGCTTCCGACAATCAAGTCGACCTACGTTCATGAGGAACAAACCCATCTGTGCTTCCGACGATCGAGCTTTGGGCGCGATCCCCGAAACCAAAAGGGGGAATGTTGAGGGTCTGACCTCATGAGGAAATTACTATGCAGTGATTTTCTCCAAAATGACTGTGCTTAAATTGCTCTGAAAAGCAAATAATCACATCAGCGCCAAGAAACTTCATTTCCCATGATGCTTTGCACACGGAAGCATTGGGTGATGTTACCGCCTAGTACCAGAAACACGTTCTGCGCATGTGCGGGAAGCCGTGGAGCTTTTCCCGCGAACTAAGACCATAAATCTTCAGCAGAGACAAAGAAACCTCGTTCTTTTGCCCAGGATACCTGGCGGTAAGGACACGCTTGTCGAACGCTCCGTCAACTTGAGCACGCGGAAGCTCTAAGTGCCAAGTTGAGCCCACGCAACCGCTGGAAACTACACTCAACTCCATCGGGACCTGACTGGGAACGAGCGGAGCTCCATTCAGTTCTCAGAGACGCTGTAAGTTGTCAAACTCAGCACAAAAGAAACTTTGTCCTCTTTGTGTCCAGCCGTGGAGAAACACACGTGGAGCCAAACAACGGAGAAAGCATCAAACCGACGGATGACGCTGAAAACTGCGGAGAAAAACGGAGAACCGTCAAGTCATAACAGCGGGGGACGCCTCGCTCATCTGGTGATCAGAAAACTCTTTTTTTTTTCTCTCCTTTTCTTCTCCCGTTTCCTCTATAGTCCAGAATAAGCAATAAAACCGCGCTATTGCTTAAAAAGTAGCTTCGTGTTTTCCTCTTTCGCTCCCAATTCGTCCTTCGGGTCATTTTGAAAGAATAAACTGCTTATTGATCATCGCTTTTAGTCGTCAGCTCTGGCCAGGCTGCCGACTCCTTTTAGATTAAATAATTTACAAGTGACCTTTTGTTGTTTGTTAACTTTTGAAGTGTTTGAGTTAAGTTTTACTGTGATTCTAAGCCACTAAGTGTTCGGGAAAGTAGAAAACTTTACACATCCAGGTCTCCTGTTGAATGCGAGGGGAGGGGAAGAGCCCCACACACACTCACAGCTCACTCCCCCCACCTACTCTGGGGAAACAAAGACCCATTCATCTCACACACACACACACACTCACTCACACACACCACACAAACACCTTGAACATTATTTTGAATATACATCCTTTTATTATATCACATGGTTATTATTCATTTATGCCACTGTTTATTCATTTGACAAATTGTTAATTAAACGTTATAAAATTCAGATTTTCGTCTCCAGTAGCTTTGTTGTGTCGAAGAGAAGTCTCTGCTCCAAGGATTCTACGAACTTCAAGAAAGACTGATAAGAGTTTTGGATTCAATTTTTCCCCGGTAAAAGGGGAATGGTGCCCCGTATATCTAAGAATATCTTAATTAATTAATAAATCAGTAAATATTCCCATATTTACAGAATTTATTGAAGAATCCAAAAGTAAGTTGAAGCTTACTAATTGTTCGCTCCTAATAACCCCAACATCATTGTTTTCATAATTATCATCAACAACCATCATCATCATCATCATCATTTGTTGCCATTTTTAAAAAGCGACTGAAGACATTTATACTCGACAGCTTTTAGTTTAGTCCTGCTTTTTACCATTTCTCATGTCTGATTTTTAATGTGCTGTTTTTAATGTTTTTATTATGTTTTTCAATCAATCAATCTTTATTTGTGTAGCACCTTCCACTGCCTTTGCAGCTTTGCAGGAGCCCAAGGCGCTGAACAGAAAATACACTAAAACATGACGAGCAATAAAAAAGAGATAAAAGCAACATACAAAGTGTAAAAGCAGCATAAAAGCATAACACCAAGTCACATAAAAGCCAAACGATAAAATGAGTCTTCAAACGACTTTTAAAAGCCTGCAGTGATGGTGACAGTTTCATGTCAAGTGGAAGCTCATTCCAGAGAGAAGGTGCCAAGACCAAGAAAGCACGATCTCCTCTTGACCTGTACCTAGTCTGTGGGACAGTCAGTAGATCCAGGTCAGCCGAGCGAAGGGTTCATGATGGTGTGTCTTATTATCATTAGTGCTGCCAAGGATGGTGGAGCACCACCATAAAGAGACCAGAAGACATGGCACAGAACTGAAAACTTTGCTCGAAAATCTACAGGGAGCCAAAGTAAAATCATTTCTATTTTTACTTGACTGCTTATATTTTTCTGTTTTTAATGTCTATGTTCAGCAACAATATATCAACACTGGAGCTCTGACAGGACACATCTTCATTAGTCAAAATCACTTGAACATCTACAGATTTCTCTCAGTCGTTGTGCCTTTTCTTGGTGCTTCCTTCACTGACACTGAAATTCCATTCATTATCATCATCATCATCATCATCATCATCATCATCATCATCATCACCATCATCATCGCAATCACATCACAGTTTTCGTTCATATAAAATCAATAAACAATGGTTTAATATAGATTATATGTTTTATTTCTGGATGAACTTTTGGAGCCTAAATAAAGCTTCTTAATGTTTTAACCTCCTGTGACATGAGTGGTTTTCTGCATTTGTAATTTAACTAGCAATTTTAAATTATTAGGACCTAATACACAAAAAAATCTACCATTTTTTTTAGAACCAAGTAGTTCAAAATCAAATAAAGATAAAAGTAATTGAAAATAATCATTAAATTATTAAATGAATTTGTTTGTATTGAATTGAATTGAACTTAGTTTGGAAAGTGTCTTTCTGCATAAGTCATTCTATCCCTATACAGCAGGTGGCTGCCCTCTTATGCCCTCTTAGAAAACAGAGAAGAAATTTGACATAAAAATCAAGATTTATGCAACCACCATGACGTCAGCTGTCACGGGGTCGTGTTTTTGTATTGCACTTTCTGTCTGTGACCGCTAGGTGTCAGTATGATCCCAACACCAAACGTCATCAAAAACCTGTTTCTCTGTCTCTGCCTTTCTCTCTCTCTCTCTCTCTCTCTCTCTCTCTCACACACACACACACACACACACACACACACACACACACACACACACACACACACACACAAACAACAGGTGTCAATTCAGATATTTATTCTTTTATAAACATTTTTTGAAGTTCAGGTCAATGAATAAAAAAATAGAAAATTCAATACAAGAATCAGAATCAGAAAAGCTTTATTACGAGTGCTCCAGCATCCTGAAGCATAGGAATTTGACTCAGCAGCACAGCCTGAGCAAGGTTACACACACACACATGTAGAAAAAACAGATACAGGCAGACCACGAGAGCAGCCATGAACGGCGCTCATTTCATTTAGATGAAAAGGGGATTACATGAGGAGAAATTGGGGGAGGGATAAAAAGGCATTCCAGAGTTACTCCCAACAGGGCGTAGCTTTGCTATGCAAAAAAACACCTCAAACATATAAGCACAACATCAACAGTTCACAACATGAGACTCCAATGGAGGGGCGGTTGGGGTGGGGGGTGGGGGATCCTGTTTCCCCCATCAAGAGCAGCCATCTAAAAGGCGCTCATCTACTGTACAGTCACAGGTGGGAGGGAGATCTTGGGAGAAGCGAAGAGCACATTGACTCCTCCAGCTGATGACCTCGCCTGGCTGAAGTCCACCAATCCGAAGGCGGGGAGGGGGGGGGAGGGGGGGGAGGTCGGGCTCTCACAGCATCTGTTATTCCAGCCACTCAAAGTGCATTATGGGTAATTGTGGAGATTCTCATGTTGATCCACTTGTAAACTGACTATTTCCACCACTGTTTTGTGGAAGCAAAATCTTTTACCAGTATAGCCGGAGATAGAAACCAGCAACCCGAGAGAGAAGCATCAAATCTCCACCGCCGGGCCCTAAGAGTGAAGGAGTTGGCATTACAAAGAAACAAGCAACAATTATATGAAGATACACTGAATCCATTGTTAAGTATAGTTACAAAGTAACATATCTAAACCACCATAGATTCCCGAGCAGCCTCTGTGCAGAGAATAGAGTTTACATAATCCAGGGGTGAGGCGCTAACAGCTAGTCTGGGTGCAGCCAGTAGCAAAAGCCCTTTTGTGACCCTAAACCAGCTCCATTGTCCCAAAGGTCCTACAGAAGGTCATGCGACGTTGTTTTAAATCAACTGAAGATTAATTTATTTAAATCTTTTGTTTTCTGATTTTAATTATCTTTCATTTGTTTTATGCTATTTTGCTGTTTTGTTTTGACTATAACAGCCTTGTTAATTGCTCCTTAAGGATTTTTTAACCCTTGGCTCGGACCAGAGCTTCAGACTCTAGAGGTGAAACATCTTCCAGGACAGCAGAAGTTTGGATGTTTTTACTGTAAGGAACAGTTGAAGAAAAATCTAAGATCTGATCGGGCTTGTACAGAAACCTGCAGCTCCTGAGGGCTCTTGGATTTCTCTTTCTCTTTTTTTTTTTTACCAATCTGGCTCCCCCCCACCCCACACACACACACACCCTCACTCCCCCCCCCCCCTCCCCCCCCCTCCCCCCCCCCCCCTCCCCCGGCTCACATCCCAGATCCAGCCCTCCCTCTTCCTCAGTCTCGCTGCTGCCGCTCTCTGAGTCGCTGCTCTGCCCGCCGCGGTCCGCTTCTCTTGGTCTACCTGTCTCCTCCATCCATTCATCCGTCCACCCCCCGCCCTGCTCCTGCCCCCCACCCCCCACCCCCCCATCTCGGTGCGGACATGCTTCCTGGGGTCTGGAGATGAGGCTCCGAAATGTCTCATTCCTGACGGTCTTGTTGTTCGGGCTGAGCGGGCTGGTCTCCCTGTCCTGGTACACCGCCTTCAGCAGCTCCAGAGGTAAGACCCGGTCCGGTGTGGGTCTCTCTCTCTCTCTCTCTCTCTCTCTCTCTCTCTCTCTCTCTCTCTCTCTCTCTCTCTCTCTCTCTTGCTCTCTCTCTCTTGCTCTGTGTGCGCGAGTGTGTGGTTGTACGCGCGCGCGCGTGTTACCAGGTTGTGTGTTGCGTGGATGTTGCGGAATTGGAGGTGATGTGTTGATGCACGGCTGCGGGCTTTAGAGGAGCTGGAGGTAAAAGGAGCGCTCGGTTTATGGTTCATCATATCCCGGCTGTGTGGGGGTAGGGGTGGAACCAGTGATGATGATGATGATGATGATGATGCTGTTGGTCGTTTGGATTGTGATGCATCATGGGTACGGTGATGAAGAAGATGAGTTTGGTGTATTTTTCTTTCTCCTCTTTTCAGTTTCTCTAAGGTGATGAGGGAGCGCTTGGTTTAGGATCAAGGACAGGCCTGCTGGACGGGTTGGTTTAGGTTAGGATAAATCCTGCAGGAGTAGGATGAAAAGAGTATAAAGAGGATTTGAGTTTTTCATATTGATCTAATAGCATCCATGAGCTGCCTTGTTTCATTCTGTTATTGCCACATTTTAAATCAGACATCTTAGTCCACAGGTCCACCATCCTGCAGGTTCTAAATGTTCCTGTCCCGTTCCACCTGATCTGAATAAACAGCTGATTAACAGGCTTCTGCAGACCTCTAGTTCCTTCTGAATAAGGTGTGTTGAAGCTGTGAAACCTCCACCACCTGCAGGATAGTGGACCTCCACAACCATGACTGGATAGATTTAAAGTTCTGAGAGGAGAACAAGGAGAACTTGATAAATGTTACACTTAGGCCGAGGGGAGGATTTGGGTTTGATCTGGTTCCTCTTCTCTGGAGATGAATTGTGTGCAGCGCGGTCAGAAGTGCATTTGAGAAGCAGGTCTGATCCAACCGCAGCTTGACTTTGTGCTTTGAGGGAATGCTACAGATCCATCATGTGATGCATGAAGGTAGGAGACCTCATGCAGGATTTGTTGGATCTTAATAAAACCCCTGGTCGTTGGGTTCTTGGTAGGCCTGGTCTACCTGAGAGATGTTTTGGTCCTGCTCTTGATGGTGTGGATTCCCATAAAACATCTGGGGATCAGGACTTCCTCTTGGCATCAGTTTAAAGCCAAGCATGAAGGTGATAAGGATTCAGATGGGACTCTCTGAAGGTCCATCCTGGTCTAGTCTCTGCTAAACAGATTCTTTTCTTTTTCAGCCATTCTGTTGTTGTCTGAGCACTGACCTCTGAACTCAATGTGAACCTTCTGGTTTAAATGTTTTGTGAACAGTCTTTCCTTGATGCACTCAGTTTTTCTTATGTTCTTTTGGTTGATTTGGTGCTAAATAAACACACCTAGGTTATTGTTGGATCGTGTTCTGGTTCCGGTTCTTGCTGTCTGTGAGGGAGGTGTGTCTGAGAGGATCCCTCATCACAGGATTGTGATCTAGGAGAGCAGCTCTTGGTTCTGTTTGTTCTCTCAGCAGGCGGGTGGTGCAGCTGTTACGGAACAGCTGACAGACCTAAAAGGGGCGTTTGGTTTGTGACACTTGTCCTCCTGTGTGTCGGGTGGTGCAGCTGCTTGCTGTGAAATAAACTGCTGGAGTTTTCTGCTTTAGGAGGAGTACATCATCCAGGATTTCTCTGTGCTGCCTTCATGTTCCAAACGTTTAGCAGTAAAATGACAGGAACCTTCAGACTCGCGTCCACCAGACTGCGTCACCTCCTGATCATCATCTTATCGGTCCATTCAGCCTCAGTGTTTCCTGTGTGAAGCCTAAATTAACAGCAGATGTTCTTCTGGAGAAATGGTGCCTTCAAACCATCTGACCGCATGCAGAGTTTATTTCTCTGACTGGATCAGAGTCCCTGAATGCAGCATTCTCTTAGATCAATTTACCCTCCTTCACTTCCGTTCATTTATCCCTTCTTTTTTGTGTTCTGCCACAGCGTCTGTTTTGGCCAGAAACATAAGTTTCATCATCCAGAGTTTCAACAAGAACAGTTTACTTAGAAACTTCCATTTAAGTGATTGTCTGTCAAATCAAAATTTACCGATATATCAGTGTACACACACACACACACACACACACAACCCATTTTCTTAGTTCTTCATGAGCCGTTCTGGCTGAAGGAAAACACAAAAGCAGCTGCATGTCAGGCTGTGAACAAATAAACATCTGGACTAGGAACCCTCAGATGGCCTGAAGAACCTGCATGGGCCCCTGCTCAGTCGGGTTTATTTGAGAACATTGCTACCACCTTCTTCATGGAATAAAAATTATTTAAAACTGACAGATTAGGTGATTTTGGGGAAGCTGAAGTCACTTTAAAGGCGAGAGAGAAAGAGAAATGATCTTGTTCACGGTGACTGTTGTGGATCTCCTTGCTGCCCTGTGTTGAGAACTTCAGCACAAACGGTGTGTTTTTCTCTAAGCTCCACAGATTTGGACCCACTCACCACCAGAACTGGACTGATTCAGGAGCTCTAAACCTACTTTTACTTTTTGTACTTTTGAATCATAGTTTTTCTGAATCCTAAAGTGTGTCCAGGTTGGCGAAGCTGCTGTAGAAGTTCTGATGGTCCAGAATCAGATGAGCTTCAAACAGAGAGCAGGACTCCTTCTAGACCGAGGGTTCTTCCTGTTTCTGTGTAGGTACCTGAGCTTTCTGCTCTGAACCCACCAGGTAGTCCAACCGACTCCTGAACCCGAGCCCTCTGAACAAAACGTTTTTACCTTCATGTGAACCATTAGTAGGAACCTAACGGACGAGTCCAGGCTTGCCCTCCCAGCGTTGTTTACTGAAGCTGCAGGTTTCCCTGAAATTCCTGAATTGAAGGAAACATTTTCAGGATTTTTCTGCTGTGTCTCAAAAAAAATAATAAATAAAAACCCAATAAAACTCAGACGGATTTCTGTCTTGTTTCAGATCTGTTTGAAAGGTTCTGCTGAATTTTTCGACTCTGGGTTCAATTTCTGAAAGTCTGAGGTAATTCTGTAAATTAAACTACTCGTCTGAGCTGAGTGCTTCTAAACGGAACCACTGCAGAACCTGAACAAACTGCACCAGAACCAGAACAAAGATGGAATTAAATCAGGAATTGCTCAGAGACCCAACTAGAACAGAGCCAGCATTCGTTTATCTCATGCACTAATTCATTTAGCAACTGTCCCAGAGAAGCTATGCACTTGCCATGTAACTGGAGGGTTGCAGGTTTGAATCCCACTCAGCCTGTTGCAACCGTTGTATCCTTGGGCAAGACACTCCACCTTCCTTGTCAGCTGGTGGTGGTCCGGGGGATTTAGTGGTGCCTGGTGTGCACAGCAGCTCCACCTCTCAGTGTGCCCATGCAGGGGCAGCCGTGGCTACACTGTAACTCAATCTCTGCCAGTGTGTGAATGACTGTTGTGATGTAAAGGGCTTTGGGGGGTTCTAGTACTCTACATCTATAAATCAATCAAATTAAATCAAATCAAATATACTTTATTAATCCCAGAGGGAAATTAGAGAATACAGACATTTTACCACTGATTCACTGCAACAAACAGCCACTCGGATCATTCCTAGCTGACTGAACCAGCCCAACACCCATGGTCCAACAGAACAGCACCAGTGTGAGTCAGATTCTGACTTCAGTCTGTTTGGATGATCAAATGTCAGATTAGAAAAGTCACATGACCATTACTCATACCACACACACACACACACACACACACACACACACACACACACACACACACACACACAAACCATAAGAATCGATGTATGTTTTTGTTTAGTAGTACCCAATATTATGTTGGTGGGTGATGTTGCAAAATAATAAAAAGGGTTCATTTGATTTATAATTCCTCAGAGATGGCAGCAGTGTGAAAGGTTAGAGGTCAGCAACATCTTTTAATCTATTCCCGTGATTGACTGGATCTACGTGGTTAGGATAAAGTGTGGCATCAAGCTGTGTTCATTTTGTGTGTGTGTGTGTGTGTGTGTGTGTGTGTGTGTGTGTGTGTGTGTGTGTGTGAGAGAGAGAGAGAGAGAGATAATGGAATCATTAAGGTCCATTTTAGTTAATAATGTAAACAAATCTAAAATCTGACACAACCCAGAAGAGACTAGATCTACCAGAACTCTGGTTCTGTTCAGACACAGCGTGAGATGGATGAGAGTGTCAGCGTCAGATACAAAAGGAGAATCCACTAAAGACTCATTTAATAGAAAGGAGACCAAGTTAATCACTTTTACCTATTTGTCCAACCAAAGAGCTTTTAACTTCTACTTAAATAACAGAAACCACAGCTGGATGACCTTTGTCCCCTGAGGCAACTTTGCAGGAGAAACCTTGATGTTGCAGTGATCTGTACCTCCAGCTGAACTCAAGAGAACGTCACAATCCTCCTCTTCCTCCTGGCTTTAGACTGGTAACACAATCTCTGACAGTTCAGTCAATACGAGGAAAACTGAGTCTGTGTGTGTGTGTGTGTGTGTGTGTGTGTGTGTGTGTGTGTGTGTGTGTGTGTGTGTGTGTGTGTGTAACATGAGCCTCAGATTAACTTTGTGATTCTTGTTACAGAAGCTGTTTCTTGATGTGTCAGTAACACTGTTTGAGTGTGTGTGTGTGTGTGTGTGTGTGTGTGTGTGTGTGTGTGTGATCACTTTACATCCCATTAACAATCAAGTAATAAACAACATTTTACCTTATTCAGTCACTAATTAAGTAAAGCTCGCAGAGGACTTGATGGATCAAATTTAGGTCATTACAGAATTGATCAGAGTTGAAAATAAAATCTTCATTTTCTCCATTCTGGTGTGAATAAATCTCTAAATAAATATATAAATAAATGACTTCAGAGTTTTGCTAACACGCAGAAACAACCCGGAGCAAGACGCCGTTTCAGTGTGTCGGCTGCGATTCTGATTGTTTACAGTAACTTCCTCATTCAACAGCTGGTTATAAAGTCATCAAACAGCG